GAAGAAAGAATTAATAAATCATTTGAACAATTTGATCACATGACTAATGCGATTGGTCACTTCTTTTTTCATTCGAGATCTCGGACCGATTTCTAACATCGAGGAAACAAAGCTTTACCTATACTGTGCTCTAATTAGAAAGAAAATTATCCAATCGAATTCCTATCATAAGGACAAATGTAAAACTATCCAATCGTATTTCTCTCATAAGGATAGACATAAAATTCGATCGAATAATTTTCTTATGCATACATTTATGCGATTATGCAAATTTGTTTGCAGAATAAAGAACAATATTGCTTTCTTCATTTTGATGCTGCATGCAATAGAAACAATGTATTCAGAGCAGATAATGACAACGATGACTGCAGAAAAAGCATCTTTACAACTATTGTAAGATCCTTTAATATTCTTGTGCATCCTTAATTCCTCATTAATTAGATCTAGATGTATAAATAAGTCATATCAAAAAATCTTACAACAGTTATGCAAAGTTGCTTTTTCTTGTTGAACGCAATCGATTACAATGTTGATTGTCAGAAGTTGGTCTTTTTTTACAGAAATTTAATTAAGATAATAATTATCACTATTATCTAAATTCTAGATATAAACGAGAATTTCTTGTTTATACGCGTATACGCGTGCATAATGATTACAGCGTTGTTATTTCAGCATGAATCGAATACCATCCAGTGTTTGCAGAGTATCTCGCTTAAATAATACAACGTAAAGGACTTCGAATAGGGTCGAACACTATTTCAAGCGCATATAATGCACTTTCGATCGATGACATTAGCATTTCCCGCGCGAGATCGAGAATAATGAGATCTGACGAGATTTACATGGTAAAATTCGAGGTAAAATTATAATAACAAAGATCCTATACGTATCAACTATCATCTCACAGTAATCTCTATTTATATCTAAGTTCTCGAATCATGCAACTGTTAGAGGCAATTAATCTCTTTACATTCCTTTTCTTCTTTTGTCAGTCGATCAACAGAGACACAACTGATATTGTGTCGGAGAACGTCAGAAATAAGTGATGAAGTTTCTAATCGATAAACGATGAGAAAAACAAATACCTAAGTCCTAAGAGAAATGCATCGCTTGGATGTTTATGTATTGTGTTGCTCGTGCAGTTTATGTATTGGTTTATAGTGTTGGAACTAAAGACAAAATCAATCATATCAAAGAGTTCTACAACAGTTGCAAAGCTGATTTTTCTGCTGAACACAACTATTGTTGTACAATCCACTTAACGTTGCAAATTCTTCGTTGATCAATCAGAGGAAAGAATCTTATAAATGACAAATCAAAGACTGCTTCAAAACATTTGCAGCGTGAAGTAATCGTATCTTTTGTTGTACGTATATCATAAATTGAACTCTTATACGGTGTCTATAATATAGTATGCCTTAAGCCATAAGAAGGATGAATTGATTATTCTTCTCACAATCGAATGTGATTGGTCAATTTCTTACAGCTTAAAGACTTACTACTTTATCGACACTACTTTACATTCGTTCTTTCTTCCTCTATGTCTATTTTCTTCTATCTGCGTTACACATTATTTTTAATTATTTTAGTTGTAATTACATTATAATTATATTGTATTTTATTAACTCCATTATGCGATCTCAATGTGTCGAAAACATGTAAATTCAACGTCATAACTTTTGTAGTCGAGTTCTTAGCGCTTGAATTGCATTTTTATAGAATGTTTAATAAATTAAGCTATTTCTCTCTCTCTCTCTCTCTCTCTCTCTCTCTCTCTTTCTCTTTCTTTTTATTTTTTCTTTTTTAAACTTTGTGTCTACAATGCTAGAAATCTTTCAAAACGTCGGACGGAAAAAGAATTAACAAATTACATTTGAACAATTAAGTCATTTGACGAATGCGATTGTTCTTTTCCATCCGAGATCTCAGAACAATTTTTAACATTGTGGACACGAGATTTTATTTAGCGTCTCTTACAACATGAAAAGAACAGTTTTGTTGAATTATCTCAAAATTTAGTTAGATACAGATTTGAAAATAATTTTGTTGGAGCAAGTAATTATGTAGCGTAATTTAATTGCTAAAATATCAAAATTTTTTGGAACATTATCATCAAGTTCGAGCGTCCGACATAATTATTTTTACGATTCAACAAAGTTATTTTCAGATATCTAAATCTATCTAGCTAAATTTTTAAATACATCAGCAAAATTATTCTTTCCATGTTCATTTTTCTTCTTTTGACTTTTCTTTCTCTATTTTTACGTTCTCGACTTATTTGGACTCAACAAAAAAGCGGTAAAAGAAGATATGTTTATCGTGAAGATAAAAATACAGGCCCAACGAACTGCGCCCACGATCTTCTTTAAACTGAACAATGCTGATTAATAGATCAATCGTTAACGAATTTTTACTGTAGCATTCTGCGGAATATTGATTTGTTACATTATTTCTCGAAATGTAAATATTATCGTTTTTATCATTTTATCGTTTTTGATTTTCTGTACGATCTATCGATATATCGCGGGTGAAGCTTCATTTATTGTCGTTGTACTTTATTTTGTATATTTTTAGGAATTTCTGCTACTGTCGCACATTTGATTTTTGCTCTATGTATCAAGTCAAAAATATACACGATGGAAAGAAATAGATAATGTCTTTCCATCGTTTTTGATTTCAAGAGACTGTTTAAATACTTTTTCTGTATAATGCTAAATACACGCAGTTTTATTTATACGACATCATTTTAACGTACTGTCGAGGATAGTTATTCTCGAATACGAATCTAGTATCGGATAAAAAAATGCATTTCTTACGAATAAATTTTGACACTAGTGCCATAGTAATTAAATATCGTATGTAAAAAAGAGTATAATTACACCAGCAATTGCGCTTGTAATTAGCGATATTAGTAATTACTTTTCAGTCACCGATTGCTTTGCTCTAACTAGTTAAAAAGTAATCGTTAATCGCTAGTAATCGTTAATTATGATTTAATACTATTAATAAATCGCAATTCGATGAATATATTGATTTCTCATTAAAAAACTTCAAACGTTAGACAAGTAAATATCGCCGCATTCCTAATATATTGAGACAATTTAAGTCTGCTGTAAACAGTGTGCTATATTCAGTACAGAGTGTTTTAACTTCACGAGTATATTTCAGTAATGGATTCTTCTGCACATTTTATGTCGATTTCTTTCTTAAGTGATAAAATGTTCAATTTCAAAAGTCCAGAGGATATATATATATATATATATATATATATATATATATACTGAAAAATAGATACAGTATGCAAGTATAATAATTGTTTCTAGTATTTAAAAAATTCCGCAAATTTTTATTATCGCAAGCATTAAATTTATTCAAAATATATTCTGAATCTTAATAAATTTAATACTTCAAGATTATTAAATTTATTCAAGATCGTTAAATTAAAACAAATAGGATTTATTTATTATAAAAACTTCCTTCTTAGATCAATTTTATAATATTATATAATAATTCTTAAAAAAAAAACAAATTCATGTTTTGAATACATAATAACGAGTCTTTTTAAAATTGTAATATATAAATATATTTTAAGATTATTAGCAAGAAAATATTCTTTGTTAAAGATAACCTTACAAAAAGTAAATTAAATAATCACTTTTCTTAGCAATAATATTTTTTTGTATGTACGAGAATTAATCAGAATTCTTCATTTCATGGAAAGGAGAAACTCTGATTGATTAATCTTATATATTATTTTAATTTTCCATTCAATTGAATTTATTATGTGTTCAAAGAATTATATTTATAAATTATGTGCAAAAGTTTGTGCTCTAATCTTAAACATTAAATGCCAATTAAGTGAATTTAGTATTTCATGACTCATTTGCATCCAAAAGTCAATACACAACAAATATTTCTTTAAGATAATCATAAACAAAAAAAATCATCATAAATAATACTAATTTTCCAAATAAATCACAATATAAAATCAATTTTAATATATAAGAAATTATAAATTACAATATAATATTATATTGTAAATAAGTAAAAAATGCACATAACTGAGAGATCTGACTATTTTTACATGACTATTAAACAAGTCATGTAAACATAAAAATAAAATTTCTTAAAAAAGAATCTGAAGCTGTGTGTCGGAAGACAGAAGTTTATAGGCAATTTTCAGGATTATTGTTGCAATCTAGGCAATTTGAAAAGAAAAGCGATAAGATAAAACGGCGAGAATCTACATGTATATTACGACTGCGAGTTCGACCGCAAGGATTGTAACTCTATACGACGCATCGTTTTCCGAAACACCCTGTAGACTCACCCGCAGAGGCAGCTCTTCAGGTACTTGGAACAATTGGCGATGCGCCGTCGCCTCGACGTCAGCTGCCTGATGCTGTCCTCGGACGGTTGCAGCAGATAGTCAGTCTCATCGTCGTCCATTTCAAAGTCCCGCTCGTCGGAGCTCAACCGCAACGGCATCTCCTCCAGCCTCATGGCGGAGGCGTCGAGACGGCGCGCTCTTTCGTTCCCCGTTTTTTTTGTGTTTTATTTTTTCCTTTTATACTCCTTTCTATTTTTCGCGCGTCACGCGACCGTCCCGTTCGGCTCTTCCGTCGACTCTCTCACCCTCGCGGCGACGGCGGGAGATGCGTGACGCGGTTGACTGATAACGCGCAGCGGGTTAATCGCCGACGTCTCGCGCGACCGATCGCTGCGGCACGACGTCCGCGGCGCATATCTTATCGCGGACGATCCGATCAGCTGATCTCGCAACTACTCTACTCGGGAAAGTCGTCCAGCGTCTGAGTGTTCCGGACTGATGCGACGAATCCGTAACGACGGCGACGGCGACGGCGACGACGACGACGACGACGACGACGATGGCGCGACGAGACGTCTTGTTTACGTGCACACACGCGCGCACGCACGCACGGACGACCGCCGGGCTGCGTGTGCATCATGGCGGTCCCGCGAAACGCATAGACGGTCATGCGGCAAGTTCGCAGCCGTCAGTCTTTCTCGAAACGGTCGACGCGCTCTCGCGCATGTAACCGATAAGAATAGACTAGTATGTGCTCTATCATTATCACGTTTACGCGACGGCTGTGTTGTCCTTCAAGTATACGGGACTATACATACATACGTACACCGCACGCCGCCATCTTGCCCGACTAGTCACGTGCTCGCGTCGTCTGCTCGGTCCGCTCCGATTACTCCGAATGTCTCCGAACTGACTTCGACCTCCCTCTGCTCCGATTTGAACAAATTGCGCGACTTATCAAACCGCGTGATTATAGAGCGCAATTTAATGTTCTTTTTTTAGCAATATATATATCGACTAATCTTTGATTCCAATAATAATAATAATAATAATTTAACAAAGTTGTTAATCACATTTAATCTGTTTATATCTCTCTCGTTTATCTATGTGGATAATATATTTATATAAAATAAGTATAGGTTTTCTTGTTTTAGTAAGATATCTTTCAATTATTCTTTGATTATTTTCAGATAGCTTATATTTGTAATTAATAATAATAATAATTTAATAATAGTTCAATTAATTATTTTGTTTCCTCTTCTGTTTGAATAATATTTACTCCTCTATATGAATAATATTTAAAACGTATACAGTTCTTTATTTTAGCAACATATTTCTCAGATAATATTTGATTAATAGGTTAATAATAATAATAATAATAATAATAATAACAATAACAACAATAATATTTAGCAGTACAATTTAGTTTTCAATAATTTATTTTGTTTTATCTCTTTCGTCTATTTATACATATTTATAATTATAGTTATTTGTCATATGAGTACATTGTACTTTGTTAATCAAGCTTAATCTCATATTTCGCGGCTAACAATTTGATCGCACTTTCGAAAGATTCATCTGATGACCTTCCCTTCAATTGCAATTGTTGGAAAAGCCGTTCGCACGTAGATTTCTCATCCCTCGTCATGAAGCACACCGTCAAATCGAATCGATTACACATGCTCAATTTGCCGAGAAGTTCTATAACTGGCGTTATATCATCTACTTTTGACAAATGTTGCAGACACACGTTTGCAAAGTCACCGAGGAAAGATGCCGGGATTTCCACCCGAAAGACGTGATGTTGCAGATCGTTCCTACAATAAGAATACGCCACTGACATACGGCGACACCCTTATGTGTCTTACGATTCTCACCTTAGGTTCCACACATAGGTAAACTTTTCAGAATGATCTGTAATTGTTCTCCAAGATTGTAAAAAGTCTTTGCACGATTTCCGAGATTTTATCACGGTACTTTCGATGCCTTTACCTTGTGTTGATTTTTTTAAGGCTTCCGATACAGTTGAATCATGATACTTAGCAGGTTTAATCAATGGATTCCATTGCACACTACTTTTAGATTTCATATCATTGCGATCTAGAGGTTTCAAGTGAGCACCATTCACCTGCCGTTATAATTAATTAATTCAAAATTTACTGGAGAATATTTAAAAAATTATAATTCATTAAGTTAAATTATTTTATTAATATAATTTAATTCATTTAATTATTAATTTAATTTATTTTAAGTAATAATTAATTAATTATATTACTTTAACACAATATTATCGAATTAAATTTAAACACAAATCAAAGCACTATCATGTGTATTCAAAATTTCTTATGTGATGACAAATAACCAAAATTACAGTCACCATCTGTCTAAAGTGCTCATATGTCGGCACTGCTTGTTCAATCGCCCGAATTTTAGCGTCATTTTGTAATTTATATAACTTATCAGCTTCAAGAGCTGCACAAAGTTCCTCTTCTAATCTCTTATAGTCTATTGGCGCTTTTAATGCACTCATAATGCATAACTCTTTTTTCCTTTTAGCATGTTTCCTGCTTGAGTTCCACAACAGTTTGACATGATAACACAGGATAACACGACGGTTTATCGTCATGGCAACTCCAGTATTAGCTCGATCTATTGATCAAAATTTTACTTGTTCTAATCCACAATCATTTTATTTCTTCATAATTCGTACAAAATTATGTAATTTTGTAATTAAAAATTATAAATAAATAAATTACAATTAAAAAATATATATATATATAAACAGAGATAAGCAAAGAAGCTTATTACTTCTTGGTAATAGTTCAATTCTTGGTAATAATAGGTTCTGTTTCAAATATAATCTTTTCCTTTGACATTCTATTTTGTCTTTTCTTCAGCAATCTATCATGGGTTCTCTTCATCTCGAGTATCTCCTTCATCTCTTCCTTGTCTTCCTCCTAAAATCGATAGCATCGACATAGAAAAACTATTTGTTCTCACCCACGGGTTTACGAATACTCACAGTTTGATTTAATCGAAGAACCAACGCTTTAACTATGCGTGCCCACTGACATACGCGAAATAATTAACAAAAGTCTTTGTACAACTAACTCGCGAATAGTCATCTTATTTTTTTTATGTAAACAATCATCTAAGGTATTTTTACATCCCAATTAAAAATCATTATCATTAACGACATATTGTACATTATTGATTGTTTTCCAATTTATTAGTATTTGGGAACATTAGGAATATGGATTTACTAAAAATTTTCTGAAAAATCAAACAGATATTATAAACAAATTGAGCACATTAAATAGCTTATTATATAATAGTATTTCTAAAAATACAGATATTAATTACAATAACAATAATTATTTTTGTTGCGGGTTTTCGAGATTTTATATTTTAAATTTTATATTTAAACATTCATAAAGAATAATTATTAAAAAAATTAAGTTATTTAAAAAGAAAGAAAATATGTTAAACAATATTTATTTTTAGTTTAGTTTGGATTATATAATATGTTTATTATATGTGCAAAAAATTATATTTATAATATTTTATAATATATATTTAAAATATTTAATACATTTTATATCAGCTTCAAAATTATTGCGCTTTATATCACCGATATATATATTTCATGTTATAATTATTCTGTACGTGTTAATTACAATAAATTGATCAATGATATGCAATAATTTACGGTATTTATTTATATTCAAAATATCAAACGGCTCAAATGGAAAATTCATTTTATAATAAAACAAAATATTTCTAGAATTATTATATTTATATTGTATTATATGAATTATTAAAAATGACAAATAATTCATATAACATTCTAGGAATATTATGCTTATAAAGCGTTGATGACATACTTGCCGTTGCCATTCGTTCCTGGTTTCAGCGATCTTCTGGTAAGTGTTGCCCATCATAGCGATCAACATGTTCACGAGCAAGATTGCCACAATCGCCATGTACAATACAAACAGCAGCTGCAATTATATAGCGATTATCGTTGTAACGCTATTCGACCGACTGTATTTGACGCTCTTTTGTATGAGTCATTCATTACGTGAAAAAATTTGTGTGACTTATCTAATTGTCGTTAAAACATATCATGTGAATGTTAATTAGAAGATATGAAAGATGGTATTGTTTACTTCTATCTATGAATATTGAGCACATGTCTGAGCGACGGCAAGTAAAGTACCTTGGCCTCGAATTCATGCTCGGTTCTGTCAAACGCGCCAAAGTAATCACCGAAATTCGTCATGCTCATCAGGAACATCGCCATAACACTTTCCATCGGCGATGGCATCGGATTCGTGATAGAGTCGTCGATGCCCTCTGGAGTATTCGGGTTGTCGAATGACAGGAATATGATGTAATATGCTGTAAATAAACTAAGTATCTATAATTGTAACAATGTATTGTTTACATCGCGTGTGATATTTATCCAAAATACGCGAGAAATCATCTCGTCATTGCGGAGATATTTAACTTTCCGAAGCTGACGTCAAAATCCGTAACACAGATGCCAAAGTTTGTGAGATCATTTAATTTACGTTAAGAGATACTAATGTTAAGGAATCAGAATGATATAACTCGTATGAAAGAGAATGAACACTAAATTTGTTTTAATAATGATTCAAATTTGCACGATTCTAATAAATATTTTTTGGAATTATTTTTAACTATTTTTTTAAATTAACTTATTATTTATAGTAGTCATTACAATTATGATTGCATTTGTTGAATAGATTTTATCTAATTATATGTAAGAAAATATATTTATTAATTATAACGCTCTAATAATTGCATCTATTTTTGCTTTCAATTACCTGTCAATTAATTTACATTTATTTATTTTATTTATTATTTTTATTTTTATCTTGATTTTATTATTATTATTATTTTATTAATATTTGAAATTATTATAATTTATAATATAATTTTTTCATATTTATAAGAAAACTATCATTTATATGATTATTATTACTAACATTATATTATATAATAGTAATATAACCATAAAAATGGAGCTTCTAGCCATAATTATTTTACCTCGTATATAGTCGCAAATATTAAACACTTTTCTCTCAGTGTGGGTCTAGAACTGTGTGTGGATCTAGACCCACTACAGCTCTGAATGGTTAAGATGATGTTTTCCGGAATTATAATAATTGATCGATCATCAGCCATGGATTATATTAATCTATAAGATTTTTTATTAAGGAAGTCTCAAGGAAGTATGAAAAAAATCGTCTCTCTCTTCGCGAACGAACAGACAGTCCATTCAAGCAGCGACGGCGCTACGTCGTTTGTTTGCGAAAAGTAAGACACAATGGCACATAGCGTTGCGGTCACGTTGCTGATTGCATAACGGCATGCGCCGCATCATTTAACGTATCTCGAGACCTTCTCGACGTAGCGCCTCCTTCTGCGATTTCTTCCTCGCAATTTTTTTGTTAGTATAGAAGACCTTCAACAGGTCGGATGATGTGTGTCAGTGTCGCTTTGCAGCGTCCAGTAAAATCGTCGATTAGATCACATGACATTACGTGTGTTCGATGCTGATGCTGTTATACCAGAGGCTAATTAACAATTGTTGAGAATTAATAGAATAAGGCACCGGCCGGTCATCATCGGTATGTCACCGGTGGAATTGATGATGCTTCTTGTTTTTTATATGTGCCATTATATCTCTTATTACTTCGATTATCAATTGCGATAATTGACAACAAGGTTATTCATTTATTGTGTTCGGGACAGGTCTCATTCAGAAAGATAAATGGAACAACAGTTACGTAAAATCGAAGAAATATAAGGACTCTCTTTTTTATTTCGAAACGCCACGTGTTACCTTGAGAGAATCCCATGACAAAAACGAGGTAGATAGAGACGAATCTGATGAGATCACCCATGATCATCCTGTAAATCATCACGACGAACGGTCCGACCGTCTTGAAGCCCCGGCAGAAGAATAAAAAGTATGGCGCCGTCGTCAGCATCACTACGACTGCTAGCATATCTTCGACCTCGTCGGAGCAAGTAAATCGCAGAACCGGGAACCACATCAGGATGCAGCACGAGATCAGGAACATCACGCGTGACGGCACCGTCATCTAAAAATTGCGCTCGCGTTAACACAAGTGGCGTTCTTGTGATATATTTTGTAATTCGTTATAACATAAATCAACTCATTCATAGTAGAAAAGTGTTTGGTTGGATTAATTAGAGTTCTGATTGAAAATGGACGAATCAAAATTTTCTAATTAAATCTGCTAAAATTCTAATTGTGATATCTAATTCTGATTAAATTCCGGAATTCTGATTCATATAATCCAAACTTTCTGATCCATGGAACTTTTGTCCATTTTCTACTAGACATTTTTTTCAATGGTACTCAATGGATACTTAATTCGATTTGGTGACACAAATCAATATAAATGTCGTTCTCACTGGAATGTTAAGAAAGATAGAATGATGTTTGTGTCACTAAATGGAAAACGTTCAATATTGATTTATGACAGAGTCGATTTAAAAATTGGAGAATTATTAAGACAAGTCTTATTACTTTTTATATGTATTAAAAAATGTCTTGAATGATTTACGAGATTTTCGATGAACATATGAAGACCTAAGAATTTCGCCTCCCGCAACGCAGCCAAAATGTAGAGCACCGCTGCGATGAACATAAAAATTTCCGCAGTTAGACGAATTTTTGCACTCATTTCTGATAGCTGCATGAGTCTGCACTCCTCCGAGAAATCGTCCCACCTATTAAATAAGTATTTATTTCATGATTTTAATATGAAAAAATGCAATGCTATACGCACACAGTTAAGTCTGCTTGACAGATTTTGTAAAACATCTGTAGACAAATTTTGCAGAAAAATTACTTTCTAAAATATTTCACATCTTGCAATGGAATATTTTAGAAATATTTCTTATGCTGTGTGGGCATGTAATTAATATCTCTATTCATATCAATAAGTTTTTGTAATATTTCTTGTAATATAAATTTCATTATAATATTAAATATTATATTTGAATGTACCAATAATTGCTTTTAAATTTTGGTCGCGCGACGCCGTCGATAATTGTCTTGACAGTTGAATTCGCGTCGGTTTTGTTGTAAGTATTCATAAAATAATCCGACGCGTTTGGAGGGCTATCGGTATACCACAGCGTATGAATGGTGGCCTCGTCAGGAGGACTCAGAATGCCCTCATTTTCGTTCAACGTCAAGAGCAAAATGCTCTTCAGGGCTGACGTGATGTTTGACGTTACTTGTAGCTGGATCTTTTCTAGCGATTCCTGCGTCATATTTAAGGATGATTTAAAATTCGAGGTAAAAGCCGCTACGAGACTATTCGTAACCAATTCTGACAGATCCGAGCTTTGGAGAGTCTTGTGAATTATAGGCTCCGTTATGTTGGAGGAATTTGTCCTCGTCGACGTATCATTTGCATTTTCGTCTGTTTCTATGGTTGATGGGCCAGGTCGAAGGGTGAAGCTAATCAGCGATAGTACGAAGTAGAAGCAGAAAAGAAAGAATTGATTGTAGAATCTAAAAATGAAAAATTTTACAATTGAGCATATAATTGTTTTATAGTTATT